AAGTGAGCTGTGAATAAAAAGAACTGTCTTTTAAAAGGCTCTAAAGAGAAACTTGCAACTATGCTGCATTCAGAAAAAGAATGATCCTTATTTATGAAAGCTGCGTTCTACTGTGACAATTAGAGGCAAGATTTAACCAGCTCCTTAATATTTTAAAAACAGCCAAGCGAATGAAAATTCAGATAATTTCCATGTCTTTTCTACCTTTAAAGGGAAGTTTAATTAATCCTTTTCCAGTTATCAAATGGTTCTTTTTCCTGGATATTTTTCTATCCCTTTAAGATCCTTTTTGACAAATTCTGTTAAATTAGCATTCTGTTAAAAATATACTGATGCCCTATCATGCTCAAATATTTGGCAAAATTATCACTATGGTTGTCTTCTTAATGGAACCCTTCTTCCGAAAGACTTGTCTTAACAGATCCTCGAAACTATGTAGAATAAATTATATTTTGATCGTCATAGACGGAAGGGTAAATGGTTTAGACAGGTGTAAATAGCAAAGTGTAAAACTCCTTCCACGTAATGTCACAAAATGGAAACTGCTTCTGCACTGAGGTAGTTAAGAAGCCTGACTTGGACAGGAGGAGAGTGTAAGAAGGCTCTGAAACCGTGGCGCTGTGTCATATATTGCTGCCTCTAAATTAACTCTATTCCTTTAATGGTTCGTGTGTGTGTGTGTGTGTGTCTCAAAAATATGAAAGGAAAGTATGCCCAGCCACACTTTGCTTGTGAGACCTAAAGAGTAAACTATAGCAGGGACACAGTTCTCTCTGAACACCTTATGTTTCTTTTGTTCCCCATGACCCTTTGAACATGAGAACCTAGACAACTTTGCTCCTATGTGTCCCCATTCTCCCAGCATGAAAACCCATCCAAGTTCATGTTTAGTATCTCATTTTTCTGCCTAGGACCTAGGTGGGCGCAATTTCATGGACAGGCCACTAGATGCTGCTAGTAACCTTCCAGGCAGTGTCCTGCCAGGCGACCTCCCCAGCTAGGGAGTCACCACACTGGTTTGTCTTCTCACTCTGGAACCCTCTGACCACAGCTCAGTTGCCAGGTGCAGGCCATGCCTCACTTTGGATGGGAGGAATTTAAGGATGTCCAACGTTTGAGATTTACCATCCAATCACCTTTCAGGGTATTACTTCACACTTTGTCACTCTGCAGGGCATCATCCCAGTCCTTGTCACCTTTCAGGATGTCATCCCAGGCCTTGTCACCTTTCAGGATGTCATCCCAGGCCTTGCCACCTTTCAGGATGTCATCCCAGTCCTTGTCACCTTTCAGGATGTCATCCCAGGCCTTGTCACCTTGCAGGGCATGATCCCAGGCCTTGTCACCTTGTGGGGTGTCATCTCAGACCTTTCCAGGACACCCCCACAGCCGCTCATCTGCCTGGCTCTTGCATGGTGTCTCTGGACGGTTGGACTCTCAGCAGGCCTCATCCCCCTTCTCCTTTTCTTCTCAAATGATTGAGGTTTTATTTTTCAACTTGATTTAGACAGCTAGGTCCCTGCCACCTTCTGAGAAGCTGCTGTACCTTCCAAATGCTGACGATACATTGATCTTCTGGTGATTAAAACACACGCTGCGTGTGTGTGCTCAGAGTTCGTGCAGATGGCAGGGCGCTACGGCTTCCCTCTGGAGACCAGATCAGTGCAGCCCATCTAGCTGGCTGGGGGAGTCTCTGTTTTTGAGATTTACCATCCAATCACCTTGTGGGGTATTATCCCAGTCTTATCACCTTTATCCCCACTGCCTCCCACTAAGCTTTTTAGTAAACTAGATGCAGATAATGTTTTTTGATATAGAAATTATTCTTTGCCCAAGATTATGTTAATAGTCCTGCTTTCCTATGATAACATCAAAACTTTTGAGTCTTTCTTGGATGAGTCATGTGGCCTAAAATTTTCCAACTTTACTAAGTGCTTCAAATGAGATAGTATTACCTAAAATAGTAACTTATTTGAGATTACTTTAGTAATGATATAGCTTTGTTCAAAACGTCAGAAAGATATTAAAATAAAGAAAACTTCAAAAGCCAGTTATCTGTGCTAACTTCTGTTATTAAAAAAAAAAAAATAGAACTTTAAACTATGCACCAGTACTCTACTAAATGCTATGTGTGTTATCTCCTTTAAGCCATGTAATCTCCATTTTTGTCAGATAAGAAAACAACAGCAGGAAGAGGTTGCACAACTTGCCCAGTGATGCACGGTTGTGGGTCATGAATTCAAATTACTTCAGGAGTACAATGTATGTTATTTCAGTGAAGAATGCCCTAAAACCCTTGCTGTCTCATTATCTATGCTTTTAACAAAGTTACACTGTACCCCATACATCCGTACAAGTAAAAAAAAATGTAAGTTTGGTATTAGGGTTTATAGGTTCCTATTTTGTGCTGTTTTGTTAAATAAATTTGTTTGGAAAAATTAGGTAAGAATCTTTCACTTAAATATATTCCTTTGAAAAATATAAATTATGAAAAATAGATTGTATTGAATTATTTGATATATACACATATACACATACATATAAATATACACATATACATACTTATATGTACACACACATATACATACATATAAATATACATATATACATACATATATATACACACACTATTTTAAGGTGTTCCTAACAAAAATATATCTTTGAGGAAAGGTTTGGTATTCAGTTGACTAAGTTATTTTTTCTCCTGAAATTTCTAAGTTCTTCAGAAAACAGAATTTTATTTTAAATGACAGCTGAATCTCCATCAAACATACAGTTTACCTTTCACTTGAGATATTGGCTGTCTGCCATTTGGGAGAAAGGCGTACATCTATTTTGTTCAGTGTGATCTGTAAAGAGTAAGTTTGATACAGAAAGCATTAAAAATAACTGGATATAGTAATATTTATAGATGTTTAAGATATATCCTCTGTAGTAATTGATATTTAATCAGAAGACTACAAAGAGAGGATTTCCTTCATAATTCTGCCAGTAATGATTATCATAATGTGGTTAGTTAAAAGGAAAAATAATTCCAATGATCATAGCTTAAAAAATAGTGATAAAACTAAAACTTCACAGATCCACGACGACTCCATTGCCATGAAGGGGAAAACAACACATTCTCCTGCAACACATAGGAGCTTTACTGGGTGCAATTTGCCTGGTACCTTTGGTTGGAGGAAGGAGTCAAATGTCGATTCTACCCTCAAGAAAATTGTGTTAGTGCAAGAGAGAAAACATATGTAGAGTATGAGGCAGAAAATGTTAGATGACACCGCAGATCACTTACTATGGGTGTCAAAGGAAGAAGGCGTGTTCTCCACCTCAGTGTTGTGAAATTAGCAGGATCAGTGGACAGGCCTTCAGGACACTGGTAAGATACATGGAACTGGCTCAGCGCCTGTGGCTCAAGCGGCTAAGGAGCCAGCCACATACACCTAAGGTGGCGGGTTTGAATCCCCAGCCCAGGCCCACCAAACAACAATAATGGCTGCAACCAAAAAATGGCCGGGCAATGTGGCGGTTGCCTGTGGTCCCAGCTACTTGGGAGGCTGAGACAGGAGACTCGCTTGAGCCCAGGAGTTGGAGGTTGCTGTGAGCAGTGAAGCCATGGCACTCTGCCCAGGCGCTCAGCTTTGACACTGCCCGACCAGCGGCGTTGTTGGGGAGTTGGTGATCGGCGTATGAGAGGGAGAAGGAAAGGGTGGACACAATCACACAACCACTCATACAGTATAGGGAGAAGGCTGAGCCGAAGCTGTTTATTAGGGATCGCTACAATCTTATATAGGGTTAGTTGAGGGGGCGTGGTTACTTCATGAAGCTGAATCTATATAAGGCTAGGACTGTAGTCTTTGGTCTATGATAGGTTTAAAATGTGAGGGGAGTGTGGGGGGGTCATGCTGTTCTGAGGGGAGGGGCCCTGCGCTGTGCTCTGTGTTTCCGTCTAAGTCTTGTACAATGTAGCTAGTTCTATCCGGTTTTCTTACCAGTACTGGTCTCTTTATCCGGCCTTTTCACGTGGGGGCTGAATTAGGCTAGCACTTCCTCTTACGATGTAGTTTAGTATTTCTGTTAACCCTTACACAGCTTGAGGCTCTGTCTCAGAAAAAAAAAAAGAAAAGATACATGGAACTAATAATGAGTCAGTTCAGAGAGAGGAATGTGGTGCGTGGCGTGTCAATATTGCAGGAGATTTCATACTAAGCATGGAATATGGTCACTGTTCAGTAATTGAACCACTGTTGGGTTACTTTTCAGTGTTTTTTTTTTTTTTTCTTTTTCTGATTTGATAATCTGAGCCTGATTTTTTAAGTGCATATTAGGCAACTTAACTTAGAGATTCACAGTAGTTCTCAAGAACCGAGCTCTATGTTTAATCATAATAACCTTGTAAATGATATTTGTGGTTCATTTATTTTATTTCTAAATATTAGATATAACCTCTCAATATCTCAGAGAGAAAATTATAAACGATGAATTATACACACGGGAGAAAAGTTTATGAAAGGAAATTATTCAGGAAATGGGTGGGAGGGAAATAAGAGAAGTTGGTGATTGAAACCAAAGGATGGAACAGATGGAGGATGGGGGTGGGGCCAGAATAAAAACTCTTCCCGGAAGAATTAAGGCAGAAAGTGAGAATTCTAAGTTGAGTTTCTGAGGGGTGGAAGACAGATCTCATCTTTCAATGGATAATCCATCAGAATGTGGCCGATGAAAGATTGCAAATTCCCACATAGCTATCGTGTTTGAAACCTTGACTATGATGTTATGATGATGACCCCAAAGTAATGGTTTTCAGTGATTTCAAATGTAAAACCTGTAGCTCTACTCAAGATGCCATGAAGGATGGCTTTCAAATTGGTACTCGGAAATTGTTTTTAAAACACCAATTATCTAAACGACTATTTCTAAGAAAAGAAAGAAAAACATTCCTTATTTTATTTTATTTATTTATTTATTTATTTATTTTTTAATTTTCTTCAGAATTTATTGCAGGTCACCACGATATGAAAACAAAAACCGACCATTCTAAATGTGTCAAATTTGTGAGCTTATTAATTTGAATATATGATCCCTGTCTCACAAATAGATAACACTAAATCTACTCTGAAAATCTAATCAGACAAGAAGGATTATCTATCTGGAGACTGCGTGCCTAGTATCACATGATACCAAAGACAAGGCTGCCGTCCTGATAGGACATAGGGGGTCACTGGCAATCAAACAGAAATGTCCTGAATATTCTAATATTTTGGAAAATACTGGAAAATCTAACAAATTTCCCCAGACATAGTTTATTCTTGCCATTACAAGAGTCTTATAGATCCAGATAAAATTAATTTTAAAAAAGGGGTCCTTTTTAGTCCAGAAAATCTCTGAGGTCCAATATGGCTAAGGCTAATCAGAGACTAACGAGCCTTTATAGAGAGAAGCTTAGAAATCCTCGGAAATCAATCAGTCTTATTTTGAATTAGCATGTTGTAATGAAAGGTATGGAAGCAATCAAGTATCAGAATTTCTGAATGCACCCCAACGCCAACTGACCTCTAACAAGCTGTTTCCTTCTATGCTGACTCCCTGCTTTGAGATGGAAGGCATAAAAAATACTGCCAGCTATAAAATAAACTTTATTCCACTACCTCTGATCTCTAAAGAAAAATCTTGTTTTTTCACATAAGAAACTCACAATCAAAGGAATGTTAATTAAAGAAATAAGAGTGTAAGTAAAACTAGGGGGAAGATAACCTCTAATTACACAGGAAATCCGTGAAAGAACTGATCATCATAAGACAAGAATCATTTTCCCAGTGGCCCCACTGCCCTGAATGATACTTTGATGAGCTTGGGCCACCTTCTCCAATGGATACTGAGGGCCTATTACAGGTTTCAACCAACCAACTTCCATTCCAGCTTGAAGAGCTGCTGCAAATTGCTGAAATTCCTCCTTGGTTGAGGAATAGAGAGCAACTCCTATTATACTCGACTCCTTTGCCATGGTGTCCCGTGGGTTTATTTCAATAGTTCCCCTGTTGCCAACAACCATTACTCGTCCCCCATAAGACAGAAGATTCAAATCCTTGCTAAGATTTACATTAGCCAACATTTCGATAATCACATCAATTCCTTTCTCACCGACAAACTTCTTAATTTTATCAATATAATTAACTTCTCTGTGATTGAACACTTCATGGGCTCCATTCTGTAGAACAATTTTTTGTCCCTCCTCGGTACCAGCTGTGCCCAAAACCTTTAAGCCATAAGCTCGTGCAATTTGGCATGCTGCTATTCCAACTCCTCCACTTGCCCCATGAACCAGAACAGTCTCTCCAGCTTTTGCACGGGCACTGTGGATCAGAGCTCGATAAGCGGTAAAATACGGGATTCCAATAGCAGCTCCTTGTCTGAAGTCCAGTTTTTCGGGCAGTTTGTAGACAGTGTGATCTGTGGCAAGTGCATACTCTGCATAGCCCCCCGAAATCGTGCTGGTAGTGAAAACTCTGTCACCTTTCTTGAAAGCAGAGACGTTACCTCCAACAGCTTCTACGACACCAGCCACATCTGAGCCCGGAGTGTAGGGCAGGAGTGGTTTTCTACTGTAAGTTCCAGAGCGAATGTACGTCTCCACGGGGTTGACACCACACGCGTGGACCTTGATTAGAACCTGAAAGTCTTTTGGAATCGGAGCTGCAACATCCGACTGGAGTTTCAGCACTTCTGGTCCACCGAATTCAAAAACTCTAACAGCTCTCATCAACTTCTGTCCAGTTGCCATGGTGATCGGGCTCTGGCGTGGAAGCAAAATTGGCAGGGACCCTTAAGGTGACCCAGAAACCCTCGGCAACTTTTGCAGGCTCCGCCTCGCCTTCGCCCCCTAGGGGCACATTCCTTATTTTATATATTCATAAATTAAATAATTGCTAGGCATTCTCCAATAATTATAAAGATATTTAAATGTTCAAAGTTTCCAAATTTTAAAAATGGCTGGATTTGGAATATGCAGGATCAAATTACCACGTATAGAGTGATTAATACTATTCCATTTAAAAGAACAGGACCAAGGCAGTGCCTTTGGCTTAAAGGAGTAGGGCACCAGTCCCATATACTGGAGGTGGCAGGTTCAAAACTGACCCTGAACAACAACTGCAAAAAAATAAAATAAAATAAAAATAAAAATTAAAAATTAAAAGAACAAAACCAAGAGGTGAATAGTTAATTTATTTATTGGGATCATGTATTTTAAAAATAAGTAATACATATTTTAGAAAGAAACTCATTACTACACCATGAAATGATTGTCAGAGAACATGTATAACAGGTGTAAACCCATTTCATAAAAAGCAAACAGGAAACATTCCTGACATTTGCAAGAAGAGCCTGACAGGAGAGAGACTTGGGTGTCTTGTGCCCGACCTGCGTGACCAGGAGCAAGTTGCTTCATCCCTTTGCATTATCTTCTAGGGAAAAGGGGCAAGAGCGTCATTAACTTCAAGGACTTGATTATAAAAACGTATCCTGAGAAGTTACCCTTCAAAGGCAGGGAAGGCAGGCCGAAAATATGGTAGAAGTCTTGGTGTATTTGCTATTATGTTTGAGGAAGCCCTTTATTCAGATACACGATTTATGTAATCCAAATAACATACAATCACCAATTTAAATTGTATAATTTGATATTTTTCCGTAAATTTACAGGCTTCTGCAATGACCTCCATAATCAATTTTAGAACATTTTCCAAACAGAAACTCAATATTAATTAGTAGTCACGCCTTACTTTTCAGCAACTCTCCTCCTCCACCCCACTTACAGGCAAGCATTGTTGGCTTATTTGGGATGTTTCAGGTAAGTACAACCAGGAGGTGTGGGATCTTTGGAGACGGGCATTTCACGAAGCTCGTCTCTGAGTTCACCTATGTGTTGTGGCACGTGTTACTATTTTGTTCTTTTCTATCCAGATCTGCCACATTTTGTTTATCCATATTCAGCAGCTCATGGAAATATGGGTATTTTAAACAATTTTTTTATGATTTAATAGTTTTTATAATTATAAAAAAATTTAGAATTTTATTTTGAGCAGCTGTTATGAATAACGTTGCTAAGAACTTTCGCATGCAACTTTTTGTATGGATATGTTTTTATTTCTGTAATTAATTTTTGCAACAGAATTTTTTTTTTTTATTGTTGGGTATTCTTTGAGGGTACAAAGAACTGGGTTACGTTAGGTAAAGTCCCTCTTATAATTGTGTCCTGCCCCCAAAAGTTGTGTCCCACACCGTGACCTCCCACCGCCCTCCCTCCTTCCCTCTCTCTGCTCTCCCGGCTCACCATGTACTGAGTCATTAATTGTCCTCACATTAGAACTGAGTACAAGGAATTCTTGCTTCTCCATTCTTGGGTGCATCAGAAAATTTCTATGTCTTACTAGCTTAAAGGAAAAAAGCTGATTAAAAAGTATGACGCAGACAGTACAGGGTCATAACCGTCCACGGGTTTAAGAGCAGCCTATTTGTTACATTATCCTGAGGAAAATAGTTTGTTGAGAATAAAATTTACAAAGGAATGAGATGGTTATAAATGCAACAGTTTTGTCACTCATCAAATGAACGGCAGGATTTTAATTCAAGGGTGTTTATTAATTTTAATTTAGGGGTATTCATTATTGTGTGATTATGGGCTGTAAGAAGATGTTGAAACTGAATTCTGTAGTGTGGGAGGTGTTCACTATGTAACTAAAATGTGTTCTGCCCATAAAGCCATGTTTTTACTTGTGATTCCTGAACATTTGAGTTTGCATCTATTTTTAGTCAATATTGTAGCAATCATATCCTGCCACTGTGTCTTTTAATTTTGTCTCCACAGCGTCAGGTACATTTTTAACAGGTGATACACCCTTTGGAGCAACTGAGCCAGTTGGAGAAGGGTATATAGATGCATGTTTTTTTTTGTTGTTTGTTTGTTTCTTTTTTTTGCAGTTTTGGCCAGGGCTGGGTTTGAACCCACCACCTTGGCATATGGGGCCAGCACCCTACTCCTTTGAGCCACAGGCGCAGCCCTAGACGTATGTTTTCTTGATGCTGACTAGTTAGTAAAAGATACATGGTGTCCATTGTTATAAATAAAAAATTAAGAAAAATAAACAGCTCTTCTTTCTTTAAATGTGTTAAACTTCTTGGTTAGAAAAGAAAATTAAAAACATGCTTTATATGGCCACAGGAATATTTAATAAATGAGTTAAAAATTTTTGACTTTTCAAATTGATTAAATACTGAACATTTTAATTTAAATATGTTACTACAAATTCCAATTTCAATGTAAAACTAAATGCCAAAAAGAGGAAATGATGTAGCCTTTTCTGAAATAGTTTTCCTTTTTTTTTTTTGGCTTATTTCTCCATGCTTTCTGCAGGTCTAGGATGCAACTGCAAGTAGTAATAGTTACACAGAATTCCCAGGGTAAACACAGTGGGAAGAGCTGACCCAGGAGGTCGTAACCAGCTGATAAGCCTCCATTTCCCACTAAGGTGGAACATGAAGGGAACTCCGGAAAACACTCTCCTGAAGGGAAATCTTGACCAACTGCTACTTGCTCAGGAGCACTAGGCTTGGGATAGATGATATAATCACTACAATAAAGGCGAATGACCAAGTTCGCCAGTATTAACCGCACCACGTAAGCAGGGTTCATTTGGCCAAATGTTTTAAAAAGAGGGAAGGTTAAAGCATGAATTATGTACTAAAAGTGACTAGCATGTAAAGTCTTAGGACAAAGGAACTATCACTTCAAATAGCATTTGAATAGCTCCAGTGAAAAGCAATTAGGCGGTTGCTGTAGTAATTATTTTACATTTTTTCCAAAAATTCTCTTTCTCCTTTTTTTTGTGGTATGCTTTGAACACTCTACTTCTGACACCGCAGGCAACTAAGATACAAGAACTTTGTCAAAAGCTCTTTGCATTTGTTTCCACCAGTCTTGCTAGTCAGAATATTTTGTCTTTAGGAATACTGCCAGTCACAAACGCAAATGAATATTACTTGCCCAAACTAACATTGTTTGCCACAGCAAACAAGCAGGTAATAAAATACTTGAATTTGATTCTCATCTCATGTGAAGTGGACTCCTTGCTCTTTAAGGATGGGATGACAGGAGGGCTTTGAAACTTCCCAAAATTGAGCCATCGAAAATTATTTTTTTAATACTACACCTTTATCAGAAATGCAGGAAGTACTCACAGTGGTATTTGAACAACTCTTTAATGTGTAAGTTATGTAGCAAAGCTCAGATATGGTAAAAACATGATGGATTAGAAAGAGACTTTATATCTTTAAAAAAGAAAGATGTTCAATTGCATTGTCAAAGGAACTATATTTATTTGAGTTAACGGCTGCTGGCTTTTGCCTGGGGTTTTTTCCAGATGTCAACAGAAAGGATAAACATAATCCTCAATTATTCTCCCTGCTTCTGCCAAGCACTAAGGCAAAGTCCAGGTGAATAGTGAGGTAGTAGGGGGAGGAAGCCCTCCCCTCTCCTTCACAGGCTGAATGTCCTGCTAATTGGAATGCTTTCTTTTGTTCAGAGTATTTCTCAAAAATCCAGGAACTAGACAATGCCTATTGTTACATTTTACTTGAATATATGTTGAAAGAATGTTTTAGATGGTTGTTAGGGATCTCTTGAAAATATCAGCTGAGTATACTTCCCTGATAAACCAGCACAACAAAGTCCCGGTCTTATCTGCTGGGATTTTGGGAGATAATGGTAACAAACGGTCCCTTACATGGGCTTCTGGCTTCTCAGAAGCTTTAGGACGCCTTGCCCTTTCTTCTCAGAGTTTCTTGAGGAAGCAAATTCTTACTCTTTCAGTAAGAAAGAGCCCTGTGGTGCTAACCATGTGGTATCTGAAAGCAGTGAGCTAATGTAGCATCCCTCAAACCAGCAACTTCAGGGGTATCAATTTCCACCTTGTAAAATGGGGAGGTGTGATGTCCTGTTTGGTGTCTGGACCACCTCAGGGAACCAAACTTCTCAAGGTTTGTTCTTGGTATTAGTGTGTTACTCAAGAGAGAGACGGACCAGCTCTTATAGGATGAGCAGGTCCCTTGCTCTAGTTCATTTTCTCAGTTGAGCTGCTCAGACTGAAGAATTTCCCCTTCCTTCTTACCTCCCTCCTTCCCCTCTCGCCTCCTTCCTTTCACCTTTCCCCCCATTTTTTACTTTAAATGGTTTTTTAAATGAACAAAAGTAACAAAACACTGCCTTGAGTTAAGATGTTTATTGGTTTTCTTGAATGTTCAGAAATATGCTGGCTTCAGCCGTTAATGGTCAGTGACCATCTCGAGTGTTTCTTTCCACCTCTGAGGTTTACTGTTTGCCAGTAAATTTCATCCTAATTCAGGCTTCCTTCTAAAGAGTGCTTATGTTCTGATAGCGCTTACAGAAAATCAAGAATATTTTACCCAGAACTTTATCTTTTCTCATGGCCAAAATTAGAGACCTTGACCCAACCCAGACATCATTGGTTAGCTGTGTAGATGAAATTTCTGATTTGCTTAAGGCAAGGAGTTTTGGTTTGGGTTCAATATCAACTGAAATTCATGGCCCAGAATGGAGGAAATGTGAGTAACTGAGGAATGTGGGAATGTGGGTGCTATTCTCACCCTTTGGGCAATTTCACTAGTCCTGTAACTTTAAATCTATTTAAATACTGTGATTCGTGTGTGTGTGTGTGAATTATATAAATACATATATACATATGCTGTATATATATATATGTGTGTGTGTGTGTGTGTGTGTGTGTGTATTTTGTAATACTCTCCAGTTTTGGACACTTCTATTAAGCTCCTTTTTTTTTTTTTTT